CATGCAGTCAACTTGTGCAAATTCAGGATGGCAAGTACAGGACGCTAATACAATTCTGTACACCTCTTTAGGTGTATTTTCTCTGGATATGAGATTCAAAACACAACTGCTGTAAACGGGAATTTCCTTTCATCTCTACCTGCCATAAATGAATCTCAGGTGAGGTTATCAGAAAGGTATATTAAAAAGGTAAAAATAAGTCACTGGTTTCTTCTACATTGGACAGAAATAGTGAATAATGTTTGAAAGACTAATTAATAACTACAGTCACATTCAGTGCTATTCAGTTTGTGCGCTATTTGGTGCCTGTATCAGAGAATCACAGGCTATAAAAGCGAGTATATTTTAGTAATTTCTGAGGGCCAAGATAGAAAGTGCATTTTTCAGTTTGGAGAATTTAAATTTTTTTTGTATTTTATTATAATTTTATTAGCTTTTTAGAGAACAGAAATCAAAGCTTTTTTATATATGTGTGTGTGTATATAGAGAGATATATATTCCACATTCTGTAAGAACATAAAGTTTCTGAAACAGCTCTTTACTTTTTCTACAGCATTTCCCTCCTCCCCACCCCCAACATCAAGCAGGATTTTAACTTCATGGCTAAACAACTTTGATAGACCTATTCAAATAGATTTTGAGTCGAACTCAAAGACCAAAGGAATCACAATGGTAATTTCACAGAATCATAGAAATGTTAAGATTGGAAAGGACCTCCAAGATCATCAAGTCCAAGGAAGGAAACTGTCCTGTCTCTTCTTTAAACTCTTTAGTGTAAGTTTTTCCTCACAGAATCATTAAGGTTGGAAAGGACCTTTAAGTAATCAAGTCCAACCATCAACCCAACACCATCATGCCCACTAAACCATGCCACATCTACATGTTTTTTTGAACACCCCCAGGGATGGTGACTCCACCACCTCCCTTGGGAAGCCTGGTCCAGTACCTGACCACTCAGTAAAGACATTTTTCCTAATATCTAGTCTAAACCTCCCCTGGCGCAAGTTGAGGCCACTTCCTCTTGTCCTATTGCTAGTTACTTGTGAGAAGAGACCAACACCCACCTCACCACAACCCCCTTTCAGGTAGTTGTAGAGAGCGATAAGGTCTCCCTGCAGCCGCCTCTTCTCCAGACTGAACAACCCCAGTTCCCTCCGCTGCTCCTCCTAAGACTTGTTCTCCAGACCCTTCACCTAGCTTCCAGTATGATACCACAGTATTATCAGCCACAGTATTATCTACAACATTTCCTGCACTGAACCCAAAACCTCATTTCCTATCTTGATTTCAAGTGACAAGCAATCCATGACTATTTATGTGATAAACCTAGATATTGCCATTCAGCAGTCTAGGGAGATCATTTCATTTAACCAGGTATTTTAATCTTTAATCAGTGGAGCTCTGACTGTAATAATTCACAAAAGACAATGACTGCAACTAAACTTTAATTTTCCAGTAATTAGAATTTAGTCCTCTATATTAAAAGTTCTATTCTGTTCTGCTGATGTGAGAGTGGTTATTTTTAACTACAATAACTCATTAACAAACAATCAGGGTGATCTACTTTGTTTGGCAAGGGATACATCAGCTTTCTTTTCTGTCTACTTGCCACTGTAATACCATTTCCAACATGCAACTTTCACTTTCAAGAAGACTGTAAGAGGAATAAAGCCTGCATCTCACATTTTACAGCTCAAAATCCTCAATCCAGATCTTACCTCCCTACTCCTGATGGTACACATGGGATGTGGACAGGGCTGGTTAATGTAAAAACTGAAGACCAGAGATTTTTCACCAAGCTGACAAGGAGATCGCCCTATCTTCATATATGAGTCATGCTTTTCTAATTGCTAATTAACGAGGCAAAGCCATAGGCATACAGGCACTTGAATTTCAAGCCTTTACACTCAGAATAGCATTTACTGAAAAGTTGTCTCAACGTTGTTCCTTGAAATCTATCCAGAACTCTAGCAGAAACGACTAGCAACAGCTCCACTCATTAATGGGAGTTTTAAGAGAGAAGCAAGAAGACAAGCCAGAATGCCATGCTAGTCTGAAAGAACCCACAGGTGCCTTCAAGACACTTGACAGGACTCATCTATTGAGAAGTAATGTAGAGGAGCTATGGGGTTCAGACCTTCCGATATCCACACGTGGTGGGGGGCGTGTCTTGTCCACCGCATCAAAGACACTCTTTGTTACAGGTATGAAGAGTTTGGAATAAATGTGACTCTTTGTACCTGTATAAATAAAGCTATGTTTAGACAATGACACAAGTCTATAATTAAGTGTTCCTCATTATAATTTTCTTAGCAATAACAGTGTTTCCTAACAACAGTACTACTACATTAATTGCTTAAGATATTTTTTTCTGACACTTGTTAGAGAAAGGTTTTCTTTGTCCCGCTTAAAATGATCCTATTCCTTTTTATTGCTGCAAGACAAAGAAAAAAAAAAAGTTACCTCTGCATCTAAGATGGCTGTTCCACACCAACTCATCACAGTCATCTGAACTTCCTTAAGCTGTGACACAAGGATCACTCCTGCATAATAGCAATAGGCTGGTGCTGTAAGGAGAATACAATTTCCCTGCAGGAACCAGCAGAGGCAGCTGAACCGGTTTATCAAGGACATTGCCATCCAAATCCAAACAGGATTCCTGTGGCTGGAAGTGGTTTTAAGTGTCAGAAGTGTCATTAATCATTGCTATGCTTTCTTGTGTGAAGTTACATAGGTCACAACTCCGTCAGGAAACAGTTCTCCCCTCTGGGAAGTGAAGGCAAGGTGCTCACTGGAAGCCCCAGCTGCAGTTACAGTTAAAGGCCAGAAACACAGGAAGTCTTCAGATGAGCTCAGGTATTTTAAAATGCAAGGAAGGGTGCAGTTACAGCACAGTTACAATCACCCATTTTCTGCTTGAACATTTTCTAGCTGTGACCACACATGCATATGCTTCACTGAAAGCTAAAATATTTAGCATGCATGAGCAATTCTTGTTTAGCATGTAAGGAGAGAAACTTGTTTACTTCTATTAAAGCAAGACCATCTAATATGGAGGCAATAAGTTTAATATTCAAATATGAGAAGTGTTTAATTGTCTTTCCTTGGAAAATGACCAATTTGCTGATTTGACATACCCATCACAATTAAAAAAATACATGAAATAAACTTTACAATATCCAGGTCCTTACATTGTCATTACCATATTGTCTGGGGTAATAGTAGGGGAGGGCTTTCATAAGCATGTCTGTCTTCCACATCAAGACAATTTCCAGACAGAGAGAACTCTCTTGTGAATCACACAACAGATGAGTCTTACCACAATAATTTATTTCTTAAAAATCTAGTTTATTGCACTTGTCTCAAAGCACAAACAAAACCAAAAACCTAAATACAGAAATAAAAGTAAAAAACCCATCCTAATTTCATTTAAACTACCCTAAAAAGTAGTCTGATAAGAGCTCTTGACACCGATTTTGTATTAATGACCATAGCAAGGTACCGTATTATACAGTAAACATACAACTAGCAAGCTCAAGCCATTACCAAAGTGACTTTGAAAAGCATAATACAAAAGTGTCACTATTAAATAATGCCATTGTACTTGAGCATCTGGTGCTTGGCAGGACACAGAGAAGTACTCATGTCCCTGCTCCAAAGTGATTGACTCAGGAGCTGCCACAAGATACTTTTAAGCTGAGTTTCAGCTTCTTTGGGGTCCTCAAGATACCAAGCTATGCTTACATAAAACAGGCTGGGTTACTTCACAAGCTGATTCCATTACAATCCACTGCCAGACAGGCTAAAAAAACCCTCTGGGGTAATGAAGCAAACATATCATCTGTAAAAGGGAAACAAATCTGTCCTCCCTGTAAGACTTGAGAGACCAGACTGAGAACGGACAGCAAATATCACAAATGCTACTAAAAAAAAAAAACCCAAAAAAGTGACATAACTTGGTTCTCTCCCCACCGATTCACTTTCTCACCTTGCACCATGTTTGTTCCAAGAATTATTCTGAAAGAGAACAGAGGTTAAAAAGAAAACACATCCTTTTCTGTATGTAGTAAGTTCTCAAAACAGAAACATGCCCACTTTTCAAGTCCTGGCCTTTTCTGAAGCTGGCTCTTCTACAGTATTGGTTAGCAGCTGCTTAAAATATTCTGATGATTTATAAGCTTAGAGCAAACACAAAATAACTCTTCCACCTACATACTGAACTCAGGTTCTCCCAACTATAGTTCTATTGCTTAAAAAAGATGAGGTATCTTTCAAAGAAGATTCAGTTTAAAGAAAATTAAACTGCAATGATTAACTTATGTTACTTCCCAGTTCATCATATACCTCTGCTGCAACATCTGTTAAGCATAAGACACTTCAAAATTTAGCTAACATAGCTAAAAATAAGAATATTGTTAAGTATTTTCTCACAATATCACAATTTTAATGGGATATATAGGTAATTTTATCAATTACCATTTTTCCTTTTAATACATCTAAGTTTGGTACTCAGAACAATTTGAGTCCAAATGTTAAAGCACTGGCTGCAGGCACAGATACAGCACAACAGGAATTATGAAAGCTGCCTTGTACATTCCTG